AGGGTATGCAAACTTTTGAGGACAACTGTATCTTCTCTCTGTAATATCACAAGTGAGCAAAATCTTTTTTGAGACCTGAGCGGGGATTTAGAAAAGGGCAAGCTAATGAGTTCCTCAGGTCTTTTGTCCGTTCTTAGAGTTCTCATATTCTTTGTTTACTCTATTTGAAGTCTGTGTTAGCATTGTCTGAAATTTTCACCATGAGTAATGTCTAAAACGACACATCTGTAAGCATATTCTTTTAATTTAGTTTCCCTTTCCTTTCTCTCTGTTCCAACTTCTTCACCATATCCCCCTCCTCTCAGATGAGTTCTGCTTCTTCGTATACACTTAACTCTGTAACCTTTCTCCCGTATCAGTCCCCTTGTCTCCTAGCATAACAATCTACTTCTATATACTTTCAGCATGAATATATTAGTATACATTTCCACATCAGTCTCAGCTACCTTAGCTCCTTCTAATTTGTAGAGAAAAATATTTGCTTAGACATTTTTTAACGTAAAAATAGTCGAACGTGGGGGGAGAGAGGAACTAATACCACTAAGGACAGAAACACTATATCGCTAGGGATATAGATTTAAGCTTAAATTTTTGTTTTCATTCCTATAGGTTTACTTACACTGATTTTTCATGTAAAGCTATATTTTCTTGCAAACTACTGGATTGTGCAAAAATAGCAGAATGTAATTATTATTTAAAGTGAATTTAGTAGGTTCATTTTAAAGGGGAACGGTCTACAAATCCCATCCATGTGGAGTTTTGAGAAAGGAGTCAGTGGTTGTACTTTCTGTCGAGTCAGTGGCTACTCTTCCTGTCTGTTCTGTTGAAGATCTCCTAATAGGATAATTGCCATATGTGGAAGATTAATGATGGAATATAGAGCAGGCCATAGTTGCTCCTGAAAGTTGTCGGGAATGGAGAGGTGATAGATGGGAACATTGACAGAAATCAATGGTTGCTGATTAAGGGGAACTCAATTAATTACTACTTCCCTGCTGTGATATAAACCTTGCACCTTACTGAATGAGTATAGATACAGTGAGTCATCTTGTTTTTATCAGCTTGATTAGTTCTATTATAATATGCATTAATATTAAGGCATAGGTTTATAACTCTAGATTACTCAGATGTTGTGATGCCACATTTGTTGGGCACGTATGCTAAATATTTTTTGGGAGAAGGAGCTCTTTGGGGGGAGAGTTACTGTGTGTGTCAATTAGTGTCTCCATACGGGTTAGTCTCTGTGTGTATTGGTCAGCGTGTGTGTGTGTCAGTGAGTAATTGTGTATATAGTTCTGTGTTTTGGCCAGAGTATGTCTATATGAGTCACTGTGTGTGTCAGTAAATGTGTGTGTTTGTATATCTGGGTCAGTGTGTGTGTTAGTGTGCATCAGTGTGTGTGTTGGTGTGCAACAGTGTGTGCATGTATCCATTCCTGAAAAGGTTATTTTGAGGGATGTGTAAAAGTTAACTAGTTTTACTTAATATATTCAATTCTGGGGGGCGTGGCTAACCACGGAGCAAGATGGTCGCATGAAACCTCGCTCCGGCACCTGGGCACCTAATCTAAAGCAATCCTAGTGTTGTACACAGCATCTGCTGCCACAAAACAACGATGTCTCATCACAAAGGCAAGAGGAGCTCGGCAAAACCGGACAAGCTCAATTTTTTCAGCCAAAAGCAAACTTCTGCGACAATGGCGGCGCAGGCCTCAAAAGAACACATGGACCCGGAATCGGATGATGATGCACAGGCTGATTCCCTGGAATCGACCCCAAACACATCACAAATAACGAAGGCTGATCTCACAGCAGCCCTGGAAACCCTATCTAACAAACTCATTGCAACATGGCAGCACACAGCAGACTCCATGCGCAAAGATATACAAGAGCTCGGTAAACGGACATCACACATGGAGGACAAATGTGACGAATTCGCTACTGCCCACAATGATTTAGCCACAACGGTAGAACACATGGCAAAAAACATCAACAATCTGGAAGAAAAGCTGGCAGACCTGGAGGATCGCTCGCGTCGAAACAATCTCCGCCTGCGGGGAGTGCCCGAGGATGTCTCCAACGACGAACTACAGGCATACGTGCGGAACCTACTGCATACCCACGCACCGGAGATACCAGCAGATATGCTACTTGTAGACAGGGTACATCGCCTCCCGAAGCCCCGGCACCTCCCTCAGACGGTACCTAGAGATATATTACTTCGAGCACACTACTTCCATATTAAGGAACATATACTCAGAAGCAGTAGAATGCGAGCCAAACCTCCGCCCGAATACCCCACTGTTCGGATATATGCAGACCTGTCAGCTGCCACTCTTCGGAAAAGAAGGGAATTCTCTCAAGTGACCAATGTACTACGGTCACATGGTATTCGATACAGATGGGGCTACCCCACTAAATTAATAGTCACAAAAGACGGCGACACGATAGTGCTGAACTCACCAGAAGAAGGAGTAAAGAAACTGCTGGCTTGGGGCATGCCGGTGGAACCGGCAACAAATCCGACACACCAGGCAGGCACACTCAAGCGAGACTTGAAAAAATCCCAGGTTAAACATTGAACCAGCTGACAAACTGGTCTGCGGACACAGACCCTTTTCCACGTACAGACTCTGTAACTCAAGGTAACAGACGGGAAATTGGCTGAGCTCCCTCCATCACGGATGAAAAGGAATTTTGGAATGCCCAGTAACAAACGGTGGCTCCATACGGAATCCTCACAATTGTGGTCTACCGGACCGGGGTCTCCCGCCACCCCTGTAACGAAGCGTGCGCAGAGCAGTGGCAACTGCGGGGGACCCCGGTCTGGACCTTAACGCAGGACGGTGAGACGCCATCCCCCTCTGACTCATAGAGATCCCCTTTCCTGTCCCTAAACACCAAGACACTTACATCACCAAGTGCTCGCGATGGCGGGCAAACATGTGGCCTACACAGGAAGGCACCAGTTCACACGGACTAAACCCTCGGACAACTGCCAGAGCTATAAGAGGGGCTCCGAGGTCCCGTAAGGTAACGGGGGGCCTGTGACCTAAGCCTCCTATGAATGTGGACTGTGATAACTGGGGAAAATGTTATGTAGAGTAGATGAATGTAGAAGGGGGGAGGATGCTAGCAGCGGGAATGGTGTCTGGCCCTCACGGGGTAAAACCGCGATTTATATATGTGCCCATACTGGGAGGTATATATAGCAATACATCAGGTTTCTATGCAAACACAAGTTCGAACCAACCAGATACGCAACCTCAGCACATAGACAAGGAAAATCCCCTCTGAAAAAACTCACTGGTGGCACATATGGGATGGCCTAGCGCCGGCTGGGACCATCCTCAACCCAGCCGACGCTGTGTCAGTGCAGTCTATGCCAGCTGAGCAAATATGCCCAAGCGCATTCCTCACACTCCAGCCGCAACACATCAAGGTACATATAGGTGCCCAAATAGCCACGTTCATGGTAGAGAGTTTTCTCCTCCACCCCTCAAATGTGGTACGACCACACACTGTCTCCACGGGAGACACCATGTACATAGTTCAAACTTCCTCCCCTAGTTTATCTCCCCCCTCCCAAGACATCCGTGATCGGATACAAACCCCTAAAGGGGCTCATAAGAATCCTGCCCAACATCGCTACTGGTCTGCCCCTATACCACCATACAATAATGGGTCTGACCCCCACTCACCTCCACTATTGACATTAATACTACAACAGCCCCTTCCACGGTATGAAGGGACAGAAAAATTAACATTGAACTTCTGCAACAGCATTGCTTCCATACGAATCCAAAAATGATGAAGATACTGACTATTAACACCCGAGGTATAAACACACCACACAAAAGGAGGCTCCTTATAGAAGAAGCAAACAGTAACAAAACAGACATACTATGTGTACAGGAGACACATTTTGTACACAACAGGGTACCCACGTTTGCGAGCAAGGACTACCCTACGCAATTTCACTCCACCTATTCATCTAAATCTAGGGGTGTCTCCTTCCTTATCCACGTCTCAGTCACATTTGAACTCCTGAATCTCAAAAAAGATCCGCAAGGACGTTATATAATAATACATTGCAGTATCAATAACGCCTTGTATACATTAGTGGGAATATATAGCCCCAATACAGACCAAAGGAACTTTCTTCAGAAAGTTCTACATAAAATTCCCACTACCTACCCATCATCCACAATTGTTTGTGGAGACTTAAACCACGTCATGCAACCCAGACTAGATACCACACAGCCGGCTGAGTCCTCAAGAAGTAAATCTTTAAACAAACAGGCCACAACATTGCTGACACTCCTCACGGAGCACAACCTATACGATGTGTGGAGAGCACAACACCCGAATGATCGGGAATTCACCTTTTACTCTTCAGTACATAAAACATACTCCAGAATTGATTTTATACTCGTCTCGGGTGACATACTATCAAACGCCCTCTGCAGTGAGATAGGAGACATAGTCTGGTCTGATCATGCCCCGGTAATGCTGACCTTAACAGATCAATTTCAATCCCGTATAACATCGCCGTGGCGCATGAACGAGACTCTTCTACATAACCCTAACCTTACCACTAAACTCACTGAAGAAATCACTTCGTTCTTCGCCATAAACGAGACACCTGAGGTCTCTTTAGCCACGACGTGGCTGACACATAAAGCATTCATCCGTGGTCTCATGATCAGCCAGGCATCTTATCTAAACAAACAAGCAAAAACAGAATACGTAACCCTCATGAGACAGCTCAGGGACGAAACATCCACACAAACCCAAAGTCCATCTACCATCACGCAACGGAACATAGACCAAATCAAAAAACGACTAAATGACATCCATCTCCACAAAACAGCCACAATAACCTACAGGCTCAAACTCAGAACGTACACACAGGGAAACAGAGCAGGGAAAACACTAGCAGCCCTCTTACGTCAAAAAAGGCAGAACTCAAAAATTCCCTTCCTCACAAATTCTTTAGGAAACAAGGTGTACAATCCCTGTGACATCAATGATATGTTGGCGGACTACTATGATGCATTATACAATCTAAAAAAAGACGAACATACACACCAACCACTTACCTCGGACATCAGCACTTTTCTAGCAGTAACCCACATAACACAACTTACACAAGCAGACAGGTCCCTCTTGGAAGAACCCATTACTCAGAATGAAATAACAAACACCATTAAAGCACTCCCAAAGGGAAAATCTCCTGGCCCAGATGGCTTTATAAATGCCTACTACAAAACATTCTCTCACATTCTAACTCCTATACTAGAGAAACTCTACAATAATATTCGCGAAACAGGCAAAATACCGCAGGAAATGCTGTTGGCCCACATAACCACTCTACCAAAACCTGGGAAGCCACCTTGCAAATGTCAAAATTTAAGGCCAATATCACTCCTAAACACAGACTTAAAAATACTAGCAAAAATATACGCTAATAGATTGGGAACACTCCTCCCCAGAATAATTCAAGACGACCAAGTGGGCTTTGTGCGGGGCAGACAGGGCTCGGACGGAACCAGGAAACTGGTTAACATCCTCCACAGCATTCAGACATCGGGAGAACCTAGTGTGGCATTGTCGTTAGATGCTGAGAAAGCATTCGACAGGCTACACTGGGGATACCTGGAGGCGGTACTAAGGAAATTTGCCTTCCCAGAGGGCTTCATCACCTTAATTTCAGCGCTGTACGATAACCCCACAGCAAAAATAGCAAACGGTGGCTTTATTTCCAAGCCATTCCAGGTCTCCAACGGGTCCCGACAGGGCTGCCCGCTCTCTCCACTATTATATATACTGGCGTTAGAACCCCTAGCACAACGAATACGGGACTCCCCAAACATTAAAGGGATTACAATAGGAGCGAAAACGCACAAAATCACTCTGTTCGCCGATGACGTGATGCTCACGATATCGCATCCTGACACCTCACTACCGCATCTCCAAAACATACTAACACAGTTTGGCAACTGCTCATATTATAAACTTAATATTAGTAAGACACAAGCCATGGGCCTTAATCTCACTGCGGGGCAACTCATAAACTTACAAAGCAAACACACATACGATTGGAGAAGGGACCACTTGACATTCCTGGGGATTCACTTCACGCCCACAATTAGGAAACTGTACAAAGCCAATTACCTTACGTTACTTAATAATATTAAACACCAACTACACAGCTGGAAAGGGAAATATATATCCTGGACAGGTAGGATAGCGGCAACAAAAATGATGATACTACCAAAGCTGCAATATTTATTTAGAACACTCCAAATCCAACTACCAAAGAAATTCTTTACTGAAACCCAACGCATGCTAAATGAATTCATATGGGGAGGAAAACGCTCTAGAGTAGCCGCAGCCACCATGTATAAACCCTTCAGGGAAGGAGGGATGGGAGCACCAGAAATTATGGGATACTACACAGCGGCTCTAATGAGTGCCCTCATGACGACTTTCCACCACACTAACCCACCGCCATGGCATCAAATAGAAATGACGCATATGGGCGGCATGTCATTGTCCACCCTGGCCTGGATCTCCAAACAAAAAAGGCCACGTTACCTAAACGCCTGCCCCACCACGACTGCAACACTGGCAGTGTGGGATAGATATGTTAAAAAACACTACCCCGCTTCATATGTTTCCCCTGCACTGCAAATCCAAGCGTTTAATGTCCTAATCCCTGGATTTGACCATGGACTGTGGCATGATCATGGGATCAAGTGCTTATCCCAAATAATGACGGATGGCCACCTGCTGACTTATGATTCGCTTTCGAACACATTCAATTTGCCACCCAAAGCCTACTTCGCCTACCTACAAATACACTCGTGGGTGGGGAAACACGTTAGGGAGGATAGGACACACCACCAGGACACTACACTATCTGCGATCGAAAAAATGTGCATAGCCAATAAGCAGCCGCAAAAATTGCTATCTTTTCTATACAAAACATTAAAAACCCAGACACCACCAAAAACATTACACTTTGTGCGGGCTTGGGAACGAGAGTTGAACACAGATATACCAGACGAAGACTGGTCCAAAATCCTAGCGGCTCATAAGCACCTAACGCTGAACACATCCCATATAGAAACTAGCAGGAAGGTGTTATACCGATGGTACATGGTACCGACTAAACTTCACAAACACGATAGCCAGAAATCAAAGGCTTGCTGGAGGTGCCTACAAGACCCAGGCACAATGCTCCACGTATGGTGGACATGTCCAAAATTAAAACCCTTTTGGGGTGGCATTTCTAATATTATCACGGCAGCCACAGGACTTGTCATACCATTCTCCCCAGAAGCTTACTTATTACTAGCACTGCCCCAAAAACTGAAAAAAGCAGACCGGTATCTTACTTACCATATTATCATTGCAGCGCTCACGCTCATAAGCAGAATGTGGCTCAAGGAAGCAACCCCAGACATTGACAAATGTTTAGCCCAGGTGGACACCACCAAATCATATGAAATAGCTGCCAGACAGACGAGAGCAGTTAGTGGAGTTTGGCAAACGGCATGGAACAAATGGGATGAGTGGCGACAGTTAGCCACAACGAGCAAATAGTCAAGAAGGCCCTGGAAAGGGATCAGAGCCACAACAAAACCGATCACCTTTCCCCCCTTCCCACACCCTCCCCCCCTCTCTCTTATCCCCCATTCCCAGTTCTCTCTTTACATCACGATATGGAACACGGGTTGAGCCTGGATTAGAGGTTGACGGGTTGAGAGATCTAGGCATCGAAGCAGGTTATAGTTATATAAACACATGTTACGATATTACATTAATCTCCTCACTGTTAACTTCATAATGTAAACTTTACCAAGAAGTATGATAGACTTCTCCTTTATAACCACTGTTCCATCCTCTGTATATGTATATGTGAAACATGTTTCTAATATTGAAAAACTAATAAAAAATTATTACACAAAAAATATATTCAATTCTCTGAGACATATATACATACATTGTGCTTGCAGAATTTCTAGCAAATGTAAAGATTGGGAGAAAAATCTATTTATAAAAAGGTCTTTCACCCACCTGCCAGTCAATTCTTCGGTATTAAAGCTTTTGAACTTCTCAAACAAAGGTTTGCTTCTGCTGACATATTGATGCACCCTGACACCAGCAAACCCTTCATACTGGAGGTTGATGCCTCTGAAACAGGGGTGGGGGCTGTCCTGTCTCAGAGAGAGAGTCAGCATACTCCTTTGCATCCATGTGGGTACTTTTCTAGAAAGTTGTCTCCGGCAGAGCGTAATTATGATATTGGCAACAGGGAATTGTTGGCCATTATACTAGTGCTTAAAGACTGGCGACACCTTTTAGAGGGTTCCAAGGCTCCCCTTTTGATCATCACTGATCACAAATATTTGGCATATATGGGTGATGCTAAACGACTGTCTTCTAGACAGGCCAGATGGTCTTTGTTCTTATCCCGCTTTAACGTTATTATCATTTACAGACCTGGCCCCAAAAACATTAAAGCTGATGCCCTCTCTAGACAGTTTGATCTTGAATCAGAACAAGAACAAGAGACGTCCCCTATTGTTCCTCCTGAGTGTATCATTGCTTCCACTGTTCTTTCCCTGTCATCCCTTTGCTTTGTGCTATCATGGTAGCTCAGGCACCTTGCAATAAACCTCTGGATAAATTGTTTATTCCATTGACTGACTGAAAGAAAGGAAGTAATGAGGGTATTCCACGACAATGTGACTGCGGGGCATCCTGACGTTAATAAGACCATTTCCGCTGTCTCTAGATCATTTTGGTGGGATTCACTCAAGAGAGATCTCAAGTAATATGTGGAGGCCTGTTTTGTGTGTGCAGTCTCTGAGGTTCCTCACAAACTTCCGTGTGGATTGTTACAGCCACTTTCTGTACCTAGTGTTCCATGGTTCAACTTATCCATGGATTTCATCGTAGAACTTCCATGTTCAAATGGTTATACCACCATCCTTATGGTGGTTGACCGCTTTTCTAAGATGGCTCATTTTGTTCCACTCAAAAAATTGCCGTCTTCACAAGATCTGGTTCTTATCTTTATACGTGACATCGTCAGACTGCATGGTATTCCTCAAAATATTGTATCTGACAGGGGTTCTCAGTTTGTGTCTGGATTTAGCAGGGCTTTTAGTAAACAGCTGGGTATTGAATTATCTTTTTCTTCTTCGTACCATCCCCAAACCAATACTATGGCTGAGAGAGCTAAACAATCTTTGGGATTATATTTACGTTGTTTTGTAAATAGCACTCAGCATAATTTCTCTGAATTGCTGCCCTGGGCCGAGTTTGCCACAAACATGCTACCCATGACTCCTCCGGACATTTTCTTTGTCAATAACGGTCATCATCCTGCTGTGTTGCCGGCTGTTTTCTTTGACCCTGCTATTCCTGCTCTGGATGATCGCCCTACTTCTGTTTGTGAGACTTGGTCCAAAGTTCACTCCACTCTTGAAACTGCTCGTTTCAAATTTCATGCTGACAAACGGCGTGATGCCAACCCTGTTTACCAGGTGGGTGAGAGGGTGTGGTTATCATCACGCAACACCAAATTAAAAGTTCCTAGCATAAAGTTTACTCCCAGATTCCTTGGTCAATTTTGTCTTATTCGAAGAATTAACACTGTTTCCTATTTTCCTTGCGTATACCTAATTCATTCCATGTCTCCTTGCTCAAACTCCCTAATTTGCAATAGGCATAAAGTTCTGGTTGTTCCCCCTCCTCCTTTGGTCGTTTCTGGACAGGAGGAGTATGAAGTCTCCTTCATAATTGATTCCAGGTTTTCTCGTGGTTCCTTACAGTATTTGGTGGACTGGAGGGGGTATGGGCCTGAGAACCGTTCTTGGGTTCCGGCTTCTGATATACATGCTGGTCTCACGATTCATTCTTTCCACACCAAATTTCCTCTCAAACCTGGTCCTGCCCATCCGCTGGGCGGTTTTTAGGGAGGGGGTATTCTACCTCACCTTGTGGTGTTGGCAATAGGAATTGCCTTCCTGGCAGTGATGGAGGTGCCGTTCAGCGGTCCGGCGCTGGTGTACCTGACTGCTACAGCATATCTGTGGACGCCGTCTGCTGCGGATCCACACCATATTATACATCCGCCCACGTTAATGACGGTGTAAACGTGCATGTGACGCCACGTAACAGACGCGCATGCACGTTTAGGGGTCAAAGGCCGGTTACAGTTAATCT